CCCGCCCCCCCCAACCCAGCACCCTACCTGAGGATCTGGAAGTCAAACTGGATCGTTTTCTTCGTGTCCCGGAGGTGAGGAACTGTGAACCGAAGGCCACTCCAGAGCTGCGGGGCGGGCAGGAGGACAGGGAGGCTGTTAGATGGGGCCTTTGTCTTATCCCAACCCCAGCCCTCCTTCCCTGTCCCACAGCACTGCTCTGAGGGGGCTGGCCACTGCCCCCTTAGGTCCTCTCTCCTGCCCCAGACTTACACTGGCTCCTGCCTTCATGGGGTTGCCCAGGTCACACACCAGTAGGCGGCTCTGGTTCACGGCAAAGTAGTCACAGCTCAGGCTGGAGAAGTTCTGCAGGTGGGGCGGGTGTGCAGGTAAGGTTTTGGTACCCCTCTGGCAGGGCTGCTCCCCAGGTCCCCTGAGAGTCCCGTTCATACCCCTGGGTGTCTGACGAGTCCTGAGTACTCGGCCTCCGGAGGAGCCGTGACCCGAAGCTCAGCCTCATAGGCGCCACCCTCACCCACATTCTGGGCGTGGAAGGTTAGGTTCAGAGCGTTCTTGTCACCCAGGTACACGTGGTTCTGCTCCCTGGAGGGGGCACACAAGGTAAGGGACACTGGAATTAATCTCCAAACCAGGACAGCGATAATGATATAATAACAGACACCATTTACTCAGTTCCAACTCTATGGCAGGCTCTAGACTAGCTGCTTTTTGTAAATTGCTTCATTTACTTCTTCCAAAAGGCTAGGGAAATAGATGCTATTATTCCCACTACACGGATGAAGAAGCAAACACTCAGAGAATTTGAGTAGCTTCCCAAGGTCACACAGCTAGCTAGTACGTCCCTGTGGTACTTTTTCAGGTCCTTCCATGTTTCCTGTGTCCTGCTTCCAGACCATGGCATCTGAAACCCCCGCCTGATGTTCGTCTTCACTTACCCAAACACTTCCAGCTGCAGGTCTGGCACACAGATGTTGTCTTCTCCACAGTCCAGTAAGATCTGAGCCTGGGAAGCAGGGAGGCCATGAGAGAGGGAGTTTAGAGTCTCTCCTGGGCTGTAGGTAGGCTCCCCCACTCAGGGTCCTGCCCAGGCCCCTCTCCTCCTGGCTTCCCCCCACCCTGTCCTCACCTTGTCCTCAATGCGGCTCTTGCTCTGGTAATGTAAGACTGGCCGGAGGCCGTGGCTGTCCACGGGGGCTTGCGGGTCCAGGGAGAAGTTGAGGGCAATGTGAATCGGGGAGAGTTTGTCTCGGAACTCTGACTCGTTCTGGGGCAGGGGAGAGGGTTCACAAAGTCAGGGGACAGTGCTTTTCATGTTTCCTTCTGTCCACTCAGGGCCTTCAAGAATTCAGGGGTCCAAACGTGACCGTCTTCCTTGCTTGAGAGGCCCTGACAGCCTGGTTCCCAGCTCTGACAGAAGGGTCCCCCTCCTCAGCTCCACCAAAGTCCCGAGCCTTTGCCTGGAATCTCCCAATCGCTCTCCCTTCAGGAAAGGCCCCAGTTCTCTGTGGCCAGCCTCCCCAGGCCCATCCAGACCCTGCCCTGGAGGCCATACCCTGAGGTAGATCTTCATCTCTCTGCAGTCCTCCCGGGCCCCATTCTGGATGAGCAGGGTCTGGGTCAGGGTCGCCTGCCTGGAGGCCAGGAACAGTGCGCGCCGTACTCCTCCCTTCTGCTTCTGCCAGTCCAACTGGAGCTCCACCGTGAAGCCTGCAGCCGGGGGTGTGTGTTAGGAGATTCTGCCTCTCCCTCTTCATCTATTCAGGGAGAAGGGCAGTGTCCACGTCCCCAGTCCCTTCGTCCCCTCCCAGGGCCCAAGAGATTCAGGGAGTCTCCTTTACCGATGGAATCAGGAACGTGCTTTCCAGAGGCGTTGAGGCAGAAGCTAAGGTTGATGCTGGAGGAAGACCAAGGGGAGAGCTGATGCACCCATGGACAGGGAACCTATGTCCTCTGCCTACCTCCCAGACAGACCCAGACTAGGACACCCCCTTGTCCCCTGCTGCAGACCTGGTCTCCCTGCCTTCTCCAAGGCACAGACCGAGGTCACCCAGACTGCTCTCTGCAATCTCCTGGGCCCCAGCTCACCAGGCCACAGGGTTCCCCTCCAAGCTGCAGCTGCGCTCCTCTGGGTTGAACATGGCAGGGAAGATGGTGAGGGAGGCACTGGCAGACACGATGGGGCGACCCCTGCCAAGAGTGGATGTGGGGACAGTAGAACTCAGACCCTGTGGAACCTGGGCAAGAAGCTGATGCTCAAGCCCCAGGATCCCCCTGTCCTTTGTCCACGTTCCCAACCTCAGCCCCATTGAGGAACTCCCCAGTTCCCACTTCTCCCAGGCTGCCCATCCTGGAGTTCATACCTGTATACCACAGCCTTGTCCACACCAAAGGACCCCACAATCAGATCTGCAAGAAGTCAAGAAACTACCCTTTACAGCAAGCCTCAAAGTAGGATCCTTCCTTTCTAACCCTTCTAGTTTCATAGCTCAAGGAGGCCGAAGCGAGGGAACATCGCCACCTGGTGGCAGTATCCCAGAGCTGCACCCAAGGACCTCAGGAAAGTGCAGAGAGGGGTTAAGGGGGCCAGTGACCAGGGAATTCTAAGTGGAACAAGGCCTAGGGAACAACTCACCAGGGTATCCGTTGCCATCCAGGTCTCGGCCTCCTCGAAGGGCAGAGCCAAAGAAGTCTGGAGTGTGGCCAGTTGCCCAGAGGGGCAACAGCACCTGGGAAGGCTTAGAGCCCAGCCCCACTGGGCCCCCAGGGAATACAAACACCACTCCCTGCTGGGTCTCCCCACCAAAGGGAGCCCCAATGGCCACATCTGCAAGACACACAACACACACCAGTCAGCAGGCCCGGATCCAAGAGTTCAAATCTTTACCACCAAAACCCAGGACCCAGGATCCTATTTTTCCCAGCTGTCGTCCCCCATATTCTAATTCCTTCAAAGCCTCGAGACCTACACATCTTGGGAAGACACTGGGGGTCTGGGTATCTTAGCCACTCTCTTTCTAAATCCCTTCTGACCCTTGACTCCTCCTCAGCTCTTTGTACTTACCATTGTAGCCATCTTGGTCCAGGTCCCCCAGGGGGGTCAAGGAGCTTCCAAATCGGCCAAACTCATCATGGCCAGTAAGGGTGAGGGTGGGTGTGGGCTCCATGCCGGCTGGCTGCTGCAGGTAGATGTAGACCCTGCCTACCTCCTGGAGCCGCCCATCAGCTGTCCGCTCCATGAGCAGGGGTGCTCCCACCAGCAAGTCATCCAGCCTGGGGGCAGGGGAACAATCTAGGCATCCTGACACCTTGCCTGGCCGCCTCCCCTCCCCAATCCAGTGACAGGAACTTCAAGGCATCCTGGATCCCAGGCTCCCTCCCACCCGAGCAAGAAGAGCTGAGGTCTTCTGGTCTTAGTGCTCAGCTCTCTCCTTGCCCTAGGCCAGGGGTCCTCAAACTTTTTAAACAGGGGGCCAGTTCACTGTCCCTCAGACCGTTGGAGGGCCGGACTATAGTTCAAAAAAAA